TTGTAAAATTAACCGTGTAAAAATATGCATTTAACTGTGTAAAACACAGATAAAATATGTAAAAATATAAATGCGTAAAATGTGACTACAGATTCACACACTTGGATTTGCAGTGTAGTTTGTAAATGGATTTCAGTAGGATTAAAAAATACGTACAGGGTATTTCTGAGCAACTTATATAAAAGCCGTGAATTGAGAAATACCTTGTATAAAATGCCAAGGCAAATAAAATATTTTTCGAGAAAATAGAAGTCATTTATCTTGCACAATTTCGTATTGAGCATGCTAGGGCACTAGAAATTATTCTTTATGTACAAATGTCACCGTAAATGATTTTTATGGAATATTTTGTCTCCGAAGTAGTAATGTAGCTTCTCTTTTATAGTTAAAAAAGAAATCTTCAGCCTCAATCAGTTTATAGCGGACCAAAGTAATCAGAATAATTGCAAATTAGAACTACATTGTAAATAATTCATACACACAGTGACCTTAAAAAAAATCTATTAAAAAATGAGAAAAATATTAGCAACAGAGTAGCGCGACTTGTACAAAGTAATCTATTTTTACTCGTAAAATATTCTGTGTTATAGTGACGATTGTGTTTCGCGGGCGAAAACACATGAGAATTACACGACTATTCTTTATTGTTATCAGGTTGCTCATTACATTTTAAGAAAAAAAATTATGTGTGTAAAAAAGGGGTAAATAAAATATCTGAGCAAGATGCAACATGATAAACTATATTATTATTCCGCAGATAACAATGAAAACTTATTAGCTACAAGCGGCACATCGTTTTCCTCGTTTGACGATTCCGAGTTTGAGTTATCATTCGTTGCGCACCTAGAAGATTCCTCAGTCAGTCTTTCGTCGTCAGTTTCCTCATCTTCAGAAGATATCTCAGTTGGTGTACTGAAATTATCGCCCTTATTCCTAGCTTGAATCCATCTTACTGTCTCAACATCTGCGTGATTTTCCCATTTTTCTATAAAAAAAAAATTTGTATTGATATAATTTGATTAAATTTGAATTAAGAATTACGTGTTACATATAGTTGTCTAAATAATTTTTTTCACTGTATGTGATAAGAGAGAATAAAATAATACTTTTATCAATGGTCCAATTCGGCGGGTATATATACAGGCAAATTTTTCCTTCTAGCGTCATTCGTAGTAACGAATTTGCCGCTCTGTATGTATCCAATCTAGCTGCTCGCGCCGTCTTGAAATCCCTCTTGATAGCCCAACCGTCGCAGATGTCCATAGCGGACCACGTGTCATCGTTCTCTGGATGTGGAATCCTCAATAGTTTCGGTAGATTCACTCTTTCGGCCAGAAATTGTACGACGGTATAAGGTTCTCTGACTTGAGCGATCGGGAACGAACCCATTAATATTTGTAATTCTTTGGGCACAGTCGAAGGAAAGACCAAACCAGGACAATCGCATAGGCACACAGTCTTTGTAAGATAAATAGTTTGAAAGTGCTTAGTATGACCAGGAGTGCGAGACACACTTACGACTTTCTTCCCTGTGAAACAAACACATTGGATATATAATATTTCACATACTGAAGGCTTCAGATCAGATTTATTTAATATTTTCATTTTACATTATTTAACAAAAATCAAATCAAATTTGGAATATAAATATTTTAAAAAATAATTAAAATTGTATCATAATACGTATAATACAATTGCATAATCGAATGGTCTTACTTACCCATTAATGCATTCATCAAGGATGATTTTCCGACATTTGGCGTACCAACACACCCAATAGTCAATACTCCATTTTTGTATTTTTCATGTTTGAAATAAGTGGTATCCTCCTTCTCTATTGTTACGTCATCCTTGTGATTTATGTCATCTAAATCGTATTCGGAGTGCATTTCCTCCCGAATTTTCTCATACCAGGAACTTAGATCGACCTTATCCCCAACAATATCTTTACAAGCCTCCAGTAACTTCTGCGCTCCTTCCGCGGCCATTCTCAATTTTCCCCTGCGAGATCTTTTCTTGACACCCTCCTCATTGCTCGTATTACCACGAAGATTGTAAGTGGGATACGACGTGAACATTAAAATATGTAATTTTGGATATTGATTGTGAAAATATTCTTTCCAAGCCACCACCAACGCCGGAGGTGCCAGATCGACCTTGTTTAATACCAAAATCATATCTTTCTTTAATTTCTTCGTCACATAGTCGTACAAATAAGGGGGAAACATTAGAACAGGATATCTAATGTCAACAATAATTAAGAGCATGTCCGACATCTCTAGAACCCTCCACAATTGTCGCCAGGTCTCTAAATTCAATTCGAAGTAACTCAGACTAGCTAACTCTTCCATGCTGTTCAAGTATTCCTAAATACAAAGAATTGTTAGTCAGTACCATGTTCGAGAAACTACACTGCAAATCCAAGTGTGTATACTGTAGTCACTTTTTGCGCATTTTATATACGCGTGCTATATTTTTACACATTTTATCTGTGTTTTACACAGTTAAATGTATATTTTTACACGCTTAATTTTACAATAATATGTGTAAGCATGTAAAAAATATTTAACTATAGAAAACACAGATAAAAAGTGCAAAAATATAGCACGCGTATATAAAATGTGTAAAAAGTGGCTACAGTACACACACTTGGATTTGCAGTGTAAGATTTCGTTTTTAGCGTAGACTCACAATTACGTACTGTAAAATATCTTTGTTCTCTTAATTCTAACTGCTCCTTTGTCATATTGAAATCCCACGGAGGTCGCTTTGGCATGTCAATCCCAGGTGGAAAATAATTATCGGAAATCTCTTGATCCTTGAGACTAGCTGGTTCGATACTTTTAAAGGCTCGTTCCTTACGTTTTCGCAATTTCTCACTGGACTCTTGAAAGAATTGTAGTGCATATTTATTCCTCGAAGATTTGCTGCTTGGTTGTTCATTTATCTTCATCACTTGTCTCTTATGTTCAACATTGCTCTCATTGCTGTGGCTTTCCTCATCATCTGAGTTTACTGTTGATGAAAGCATATTTTTATAATTCTCCACAAGTAATATTAAATTGCTAATAAAATAACTATAAATTGCAATTATATAGACGATAATTATTCAATTTAATCTTCCTTAGCTCCAATTAATAAAATTATGCTCATTTGAGTTTTTGTGCGAAACGAAAGAATCTAACAAAAAAAAGTGTCAAGATATTAATCGTTAAGTTAATGAATATTCGATTAAGAAATCAATCACATTCATGAAATATCGTGAAATATAAAATATAAACTCATATCGAATCGTATATATGGATATTTACAAATTTCCACGCAAAATACAGTTCCACATAGGTTTCCAATTTTTCATTGAAAAACGAGTTTTTAAAAAATTAGGTGTAGATTAGAAATCCTAAAGAGATCGTTATCTTATTCAACATTCGATGGACAAGAAAGATAAAATGAGATAAAATGAAGCACTCGGGTGATGTTTTCAATTACAGGGTCTCAAGATTAGGTTAGGTGCAGCCTTCGCAGAGAGTAAGCGAACTCTGCACATGTACTCGTTTTGCCCTTTAAACAGGGAAGGAAGGGTGGGGTAATTATATCAAACAAATCGCCGCCGAGAAAAGTTCGAAACTAACCTTTTGAAATCCCTCCCAAGCTAAATTCAGATTCCTTACCCCGAGTGTGTTCGAGTATCATTTTAGCCCTGTTATATTGGAAAATCTGAACGCATCTCTTGCTATATACGTGTACTATACGGTTTCTTTTTTTTTTCACACATTTTTATTATTGTTACCAGCTTCCTCGAAAAGAGACGAGGGTATTCAGGATCGAGAAAGAGAAGTAGGGAAGGATATGTAGAATCGACCGCGCTTCGCTTTGCAAATTGCAACGTTAATTTTTACAGATATAAATTTCAAATAAATCTGATACATACCAAGCAAGGTTCGCTGCCGTTGTTTTTTCGCCTGCATCTGCTGCTTCTTGGCCTTTCCGCTGAACGGAATTTTTCTCCTTCCCTGAGGCATATTCTCCACAGCTTCAATATCGTCACTTTAACTGAATTATCACAGCTCTGTCACGCGAGGATTATAGCTTACAAACGATCACTCCGTATCCCCAAGTCGTCCAAGTTTCAAAGCCACTGTACACACCGTGCACGCCGACACCGCCGCTCGACCGTTCACGGCGCGCAGCATGCTGCCGATCCGCGGCTCCGTGAGACGAGGAATTTACACGACGCCGAACAGCTGATCGTTTTCAACCAGCGACGCCATCTGAGATTGTTTTCGGACGAGAACAGTCACGGATTCACGGACGCGCACAAAGGTGTTTTACTCGCGGACGGGATTAGCAGCTATGCGACCGCGTGAAAACATCAAAATAAAAGGGACAATCGTGTGACAACTTGGAAGTGCGTCTCCGCGCGGGATCGTCGCGGCAGAACGATAACGTTGCTCGAACGTTGCTGCTGCACAGGTGCCTGCATCTCGCCGTCCTCGCTCTTACCCTTCTCCACGCTCGAGAAATTGCTCGAAACCTCGAGTAACTACGATAGTCGACCGAAGGGAGATTTAACTTTGCTCTCTCCCCTTTTTGCAGGCCAATCGCAGCCAATCCGTGTCCGAGCACGCCGAAGGGCACTATTACCTACCCACCACTGTCCAACACAGTGCTCCGGTGACTGCGCATTGCCAGTTAGATTGTTAGACAACAACCTCTCCTCTCTCTCTCCTCTCTCTCTCTCTTCCTCAGCCCCGCTGCCCGTGGCAACTTCCACCAACTTTTATGCCATCATAAGCAACTTCCCAGCGTCTTCTCTCTCTCCGTTCTCTCGCGACGCAATTGCTGGAGGCTTCGCTTCTGAGAGCCACAACATGGATTGGAATAAGGTCATCGACAACGTTTTGAACTACGTGAAGCCCTCTCGACTCGAGAATGAGATAAAGGGCATGAAATACGAAAGCGAGCTGATAACTCGTTTGTCGCAGAATCAGGAGGTTATGTGAGTATATAAGCTTTTACATGTCTTTCGGGATGAGAGTTTTTTCGTGATCCCGAAACAGTCTCTCTGAAATAGTATTTTCTTTATTTTCTTTCTTTTTTTTTTTAAATTCTGCCGAGATAACGAAGAGTTCATAAGTAATCAATTTGTTTTTCTCGTATAAAGAAGTACGAAAAAGGCCTGTTTATGCTGTGCTCGGGGAAAGTAAAACAGACGTCATTTCTTGTGGTTTTTGAGACGAGAAATCCGATGGTGGCGGTTAAAATTACGTTTAAATGACGGGAACACATGAAGATGGAATTTAAATCGGGAAACGCGTCTCATTCGCGAGAACAGGTCGCTACGCTCAATAACTGTCGATGGAACACAATGTGACATGTCGTATTAGCATATTGACATTAAGTAGAATATTGTATAAGATGTTAATTCAATAGCGAAGAAAATATCAGATGCAACGAAAAGTTTTCGTCTTGCACATGCTTGTCTGATATCGGGGATTCGGAGAAGGGGGAGGGGGGGGGGAGAGGGAAGAGAAAGCCGACTTGCATGACATGCGTGTGCACGAAATTTCCGTTGCGTCTAATATTTTTCCTATATAGCCTTTTTTTAAATAAAATATCCTATATTCTTGTAAGATACGATATATTTTTAATGTCAAAATATAATGTATTCACCCTTGTGTGAATACCATGTGTTCACGTAGCATAGCGTCTTGTCTCGATATTGACTGCGATGCTACGCATTTTTCCGATTTACGCTCAAATTTTTACATATTCCTGTCTTGCGACGTAATTTTAATTTAGCATCATCGGATTTCTTGTCTCAAAGGCTATAAGAAATGATATCTACCTTATTTCTCTCCGAGCACAGCAAAAAAAGCAGGCTTTTTTTATAATACGCTTCTTTCACAAACTTTTATGTTCACTATAATTGGCACTTTTAAGTAATTGTAATACATCGGTGTTTATTAGTGTGTAAGTTAAATTTTAGGAACAAACGTAATTAATTTTAACTAATGGATATATACTGGGGTATATTATAAGCTTTTAATTGGAAATGCAGGAAATATATAGATTGCTGGCTGCAAGATTACTATGACACAATAGATGAGAGGAAAGAGGATAAATGTTCAAAAAAGTCATTGTCTTTCAAGATACAAGGGACCAAGCAGTTTCAACTGAAAAAATATGCTGAGTCTCTAGAATTTTATACGAAAAGTGCTAGGTACGCTGACTCGTATACAGATTCGTCACTGGCAATTGCAAATAGATCAGCCGCTCTATTCCACATGAGCAGATGGCAGGTGAATAAAAAACTCTAGGATGAACGATATTACAATATTTTTGCTTTTCTTTACAACCACTTAATCATTTATAAATCATTATGTTTGCAATGGCAAGTTCAATGTTATAAAATTATTATTCTGTTTGTAAATGTAATTTATTAATAATGTATAGAAATGCATCGACGATATCAAATTGGCGCTGGAATTGGATTATCCCGAGAACTTACGTTTCAAACTGTATCTGCGTGCAGTTCAGTGTTACCTGGAATTAGGTAACAAAAGTTCAGCTCTTGAAACTATTTTAAAATTGCGTAACTCAGTGAATCAGGGTAAAATGTCAAATGAGAAGAAAGGCAAGTATCAACTTCGAATATTTAAGATGAAGGGGAAAATTACTTATTGTAGACTTCTTATATTTGTTATAATAAAAAATCGTTGATACTTTTAGAGCAATTACAGAAGCAAATAAATGTCCTAACATCGAAGATATCATGTTTGGAAGATGAAACAGATAATACCACAGATAATACCACAGATACTACAGAATTTCCTTCGCCACCTGAAGTCGTATATGGTGAAAACCCTAATTTTCCGTCTGCCTCGGCAGCTGTAGAGATAAAACATGCTCCAGAAAAAGGGAGATACGTCGTAGCTAATAGAGATATCAAAAGAGGTCAAATCCTATTCGTTGAAGAGGCATTTGTTTTTGTCCCATTGAGTTTCGCTAAATCTGATATTTGTTACAATTGTTGTCGCTCGTCCGGTGATACTCCTCTACCGTGAGTTTTATATTTCTTATTCTCTGGCAAACCAATAAAGAAAAAAAATATATATATATTTATATTGCGTGTGTTTTAAATTACACAGCTGTACAGAGTGTATCGAAAGTATATATTGCAACATTAATTGTTGGAATGAAGCACGCTCGTCTTACCATCGTTGGGAATGTGTCGGCAATCAAATGGGCCTCTGGGATGAAGTTGGGATAGCATATCTGGCTGTAAGAATGTTGTTTAAGTGTACAACTACAACCGATGGTAACAAACTTAAGGAGGTACAAGATCTAGTGACTAATTTTTCCAAGGTCTCACCAAGCGACATTATTTCGTATGGAATCGTAAGTGGCATAATTTTCGCGAAAATAAAATATGCGACGTACGCGTGTATAGAGAATTTCTTCATAAAACTAATTTCTATCTTTTCTTTCAGACGGCAATTATGCTTAGGATGTATTTATCAAAGTTTACACCTTTTTTTACATTTCTCAATCTTGATGAATGTTCAAAGTTCTACGATTTCAACTGTGATCTCGCAACAGAGAACGGTAGACGATTGTTCGTAAGTTCTCTACTGCTGAAGAATATACTACAACTTATATCTAATGGGCATGCTATCACAAAGATAAACGCGATAGCAAATAATAAAAACACACTTTTTATTCAACAACAAGACAGAATAGCCACAGCTATTTATCCCTCTGCAAGTATGATGAACCATTCTTGCGATCCTAATATCATCAATAGGTAATATATAGATATCTTTTTGTAACAAAAATGTGACAATTGCTCATTGCTTACATAAACCTATACAGGAAATAAATATTATACCCATTACTTAAATAATACTGTTATTCTTTAGCTTTTTAGGGCACATTTTAATAACTAAAGCCACACGGGATATTGCAGCGGGTGAAGAAGTCTTTAATTGTTATGGTATGTTAAAAGTTAATAATGATAAATTACTTTATTAATTACCAGTTTTGATTTCACTTTCTATGTTGTGCAACAGGGGTTGACTTTAGAAGAATGTTGAGACAACAAAGACAAGAAAAGATGAAAAGTCAATACTGTTTTAAATGCAACTGCGTGGCATGCACTAAACCAGAATATGAAGACAGCTTGGTAAATTATTAATTATTTCTAGATATTAAAAATATTGTATTAACATTATTGCGTAAATAAATTCGTTATTCTTTTGTAGAGAAAGTTTATTGCGAAGAAGTGTCCTAAATGTAGCGGGCCGTTGAGCGATAATTTCTACTCCTCTTCCATGCACTGTATGGATTGCGGAGCGGCAATGTATGGAAATATTTATGATGAATCTTTAAAAGATGCTGATTCTTATTATTCCGAAGGAAGAGTTTGCATAGAGAATGAGAATTATGACGAGGCATTAATTAAATTGAAAGCATGTTTGCATCTTAAGAGAGCTGCATTATATAAATATCATGAGGATCTTGCCGAAATTATGGATCTCATAGCAAGAGTGTATGCTATTATGGGTTTGTATCAGCAATACGAATATATGGTGTAACATTCAGAACACAACGAGTTGAATCCTGTTGAATCGATCATTTCTCATCAGCCACGCTCATCACCCTAAATAATCGTTACTCTTTTCTGGTTTTAGAGCAATGGTTAAATTCGATTTCGTATCTCGAGCACAGTATCGTGGCGATTGAAGAAAGATATGGCTCTTGCAGTCTTGAAGTTTGTAATGAAATAAATAAATTAACGGATATATGCATGCAATATTTGCAAGAGGAATCTAATACATCATCAAAATATTATAAGTAAATGTCGAATTTTTATCATTCTAAATTGTAATTACATTCGTCTATTGTTTATTGCAGTGTATTATGTACTTTGTTACAGAAACGTGTTGAAAAAAACACGGCGATATCTAAATCGTGCTGAAGAAATTATCAATCTCACGTGTGGTCCATGGAACGAAGTTTACCGTGAAATTGCCGTAAAAAAAGAAATTCTTTCTTCTATTTTAATAAATTTTAACGTCTGATATTTATGTCAACAACCTGTAATATTTAACAGATAAGTGAATAAAAGATTTATAGCAAAGCATTTATGCCTTTCCATATTTCTTGATTATATAAAAGAGAATTATATTAATAATTTTTTTATTATATTTTTCTTAGATATTTTTTTAAATACGTTATTTGTGTTATTATGTATTTATTAAATAACGATGATCAAAATGACTATCTTTTAAGGCATAAGCAATCATGTATACATATATACATGTATATAATTATAAATTTTATTCGTAATTTTAAGAAAGTTTTCAGTATAACATAATTTGTTCATATTTATATCAAGACACTATGCTTTTCAACAAATCTGAATTCGACAAATTTGATTTTATAATTTTGTGTAAACTACATGTAGTTTTATGTTAACAATATCATATAGGATCTTCACGTTGAATTTTCTTTATTGTATTCCGAATTATATATACATATATGTTATATGCGAACAACTATAACATTGGATATTTTTCTGCATGGCAATTCAAGCTACGTGAGAAGGAATTCAGAGAATCTTGATAATCTCTAAATTAGATCGCTGTCGCTTCAGCTCGTTCACATTTGTTAATAATCTGCTCTCTTTCTCTAATTTCGAAGTTTGGCAAGGAAATAATTATGACGTTTGTAATAGAATTTTCGCAGCTGTGTGAAGTTGCCCCCCCACTACTGAAAATTAAATGATTATTACCACTCGATTCGTGGTTGTTTGATGGTATTTAATAGTCCATTCTCGATGCAGATTAGTACTCAAAGTTGTAAATAATAATATGAAAAAAAAAACATACGCATATGAAGTTAGTTCCTTCTTTCGCAAAATATGACTTTCCCTTAGAACATATATATGTTCTAAGGACTTTCCACACTGCGTATGTAATCATAACTGTAAATATTCACACGCGCGTATGTCTTTTTTTCATATTATTATTTACAACTTTGACTACCAATCATCGAGAATAAACTACCAAATACTATCAAACGATCATCAATTGAGTGGCAAATGGTCGTTTTTGAATTTTTAATAGTGG